AGGCGATTGGACTGTTTTGATTCACGTCATATTCGCTGATGGGTAGTGTTGAGTTTTGTTGCTCTTCTTCACACGATTTTTGATGTGACGCGACCAACAAGTGGTAATGCCGATGCGCACTTGAATCTGAAAAGGATCATGAAATCGAGGATAGAATCAAACATTACTTTTAAAGGATTGCTTGCGTCTTCTGAGTACAGTGCCTTTCGGTATGGCAATCATATTCCCTTGTGGATTAAGTGCACGAAAGCAGCCCAAGCACGTACTGGTATGTCTGTACACGACGGAAGAATGCGCAACACGTACTCGTAGAGACTGGATATTCAGGAATCAGCCATGCATCTGGGCTACCAAATATTCTTTGTCTTGATTCTAAACGACTCTCATTGTGCGACGGATGGCCAACCTGCTGGTGTTCTTCACCATGCTCGAAACTGGCACTACCTAACCCTGTGACTGACCGCCAAGCAACGACTTTTACGACTTTGATGCAACCCTCAGTTTATTGACCCCAATCCTAGTATCTACTTTCTTTTCTCGAAGAGCCATTCGTGTTAAAGCAAGCCAGCTACTATTATGACCAATAGTAGAAAACAAAGCTCAGTACCTGCGTTCTCATCAAGTTTTTGAACGTCATGCCAACGAGGTATAGGAATTTGGGTCACCCAGACAAAGCGAATGTTGCTAGTATCTGGATAGGTATTATAAGATATTACAAGAATTTAGGTAGTTTCTACATGATGTCTGATGTGGCAATCGGGAATGGTGCAGGCACAATGAGAAGTGGGTGACGAGATAATATGCTTTTCGTAGATGTTTGAAACATACTTTAGGGATCAATCAGCGCTCCTTGTGTGCTTGTGTAACCAGCAAATGATTGATTGGTCCGCGCTGATACTGCCGCTATAGCATACGTGTTTATGGTAAGTTGAATTTATGTTTGTGAAGTCACACGCTTCCACGAATCATGCATGCGTTCAGCCAAGTCAAACACCCTAATCAATCATTGATTGCACCAAAACGTAGTAGACGGTTCCTAGCCAGTCTGCTGACTGTTAATACCAGTGATATTTTGATTCTGAGCTATCCCAAACGCCACTGCAAAAGTGCTGAGTACACCGATGTAACCTCAGATATAACCTCATCAGTATCATCCTCCACTTACCCCTGACACGGTTGTCAATGTCTTCCAAGATTATTCCACCCACGACCTTTTTGAAGACAATCACCTCAATCTCTCCTAAGTGCCCTCGCCTCCCCGACTATGTTAGCCAATATCACTCCGCACTTGACATTTCACATGGTCCTCTTCGTACGACTTCTGACGGCAATCTCATCGTCGAAGAGTCAGGCGACTGGGTTCTCCTCGACACGCCACCACATGATCGTCAAAACCACGAGATTAAGGTGTCGAGAAGAAACATACCAGCTATCGACCTTCCCGAAGCAAAGAATGGTGCAACAGGCTTGGAAGATGCGCGAAGTCGAGATCGGGCGCGGAGAATCATCAAAGACCGTGGTCTGGTCCTCGCGTGATGCAGACTGGAGTGGTCTGAAAACATGGAAACAGTATTGTGGAGGATTCAAACAGGCTATTTGCAACGGATGAAAGTGAAGTCAAGATCGCTGATGGTGCATTCCTCGGCAAGATCAACTAGCATTTGGGTTGGCATCAGGTCATGAAACACTTTAAGTTAGGGCAATTGAACATACCAGTAATTAAAAAATTCTACATTCATCGCTGAATTCAAGCATTCGCAAGGTAATTACAGTCGCTAGTCATATTGATATTCACATCTTGAAACAAATCCATCATGTAGCGTAGGAATGAAGTACTTTGAACCGCACGAAAGTCATTGGTACATCATTGTGATGAATGGTCCCATTCAATAGATCTCAGTATTCCTTTATTCCGCTGTAATATGATGGATCTCGCTAATATAACAGAACTCGAAAATCTGGAATGTTTGTCTTTTGCACTGATGGTATTGATGTGGCGCGAATAATTCAAGAGCATTAACCCTGTATTCCATGGTATATTAAAGATGAATGGCTTGAAGCCAAATAATTCCCTTAAGATCACTAAGGTATACTCGAAATTTTAGTCTTATCGTGCACACATATTACGAATTCGAGAAGAGCAGCATAAACATATACCTCTAAAGCTTTTAGTTTATAGTAGACATAAGATGCAAATGAGATACTTTTGAAAATACGTCTCCACAACCCCCCTGTACGAAGACTTGTAACGTTTGAAAGATTCCTCAGAACATATATACTTTGAAATACTCCATATCCTTGGGACACTGAAACTTTTAAAGGACCTTCTAGATCAAAGGATATGTGAGCAAAAGAATATGAAAAATAACCAACGTTAACATCTACTCACGCAAGAAATCTCATGCAGAACGATCATGCGACTTTCAAGTAGCTTCCAATAACGCAGTCACCCATGTGCATATGGACAACAAGTTTCTCAATCAGACATAGAACCAGGTCCAAATTGTGTTGTTTGAAAAGCGTCAGGCTTTGTGTGTGAGAACGTTATGGAGAGAAGGAGAATTTATATACCCACAGTGCAGAGCAACCCTCGAATATATCAGGTCATGGTCAAGTGGCGGACGCTTTTTTCTTTCACTTATAAGACCATCATCACAGAACCCCGCTGTTTTAACGCAGCGCTTAGACAATAAGGTCATTGCATTTGAGATTTCAACTTTTGTGGAGGGAGGAATTGAAGGTATTTGCACGCACCTCTGGTATTAATTTGAGAGTTTGGGGAAGGGCTAAAAGTATTTACCGCCTTCATCTTGAGCCAGTGAATCATAGTTTCGAGTGCATTTCTGTTCATCTACAGAATTATATCATCGACTTTAGATGTTTGAGACAGCACAACTAGACCGTCATGCACATGTGTGACCTATGATCTTATTTCCTTTAATTTACTTTTATGGGCAGACGCAAGATGAGAATATCAACGCTTGCGTAAGCATCTTTCGACACAGACAGTCGATGTCAGAGGTTTATTTTATTCATGTAACAAAACCACTACTGGTAGGCTTGAGTGGGAAACGAGAGAAGAAAGGCAGACATTAAGTGGTGGATTTCTATCCGCACGCCGTCCCTCCTCCTGCCAGGTTTCTGCACCATCCTTACAGCCTATGGCGCATGGAAAGATACACGACGCGCTAGGAGTTTCTAGCCAATTCATGAAAGATTCACATGTACTATTCTAGCCCCGAACGTAACCATGGAACAAGGACTATCCCCACTTTACGCTACGCGCGCACCGTCCCGCGGTGTAGTTTTGTCCCCTGCTCTAGTTCGTACAGGCGGATATAGCCTTGGCCTTTGCTAAACAATATCGCTGTCTTAAGGAACGAGTTAGGCAGTGCGTATGCCCAGATCTTGAGGCATAGTTGTATAGGAAAGGTTGGGAAATGGGTGTAAGGTGGGTGTGGACTGAGTTGCTATCGTGGGACGAGAGGGGTGGTGCGGGAGGTACGACATGGCAGACATGTCAACAATCAAGCCAGCTTGATTGATATCAAGCTGGCTTGTCAAGCTGTATACTCAAGCAAGCCAAGCTGAGGTTTAGTAATAAACAATTAATCAAGCTGCGTAAAGTTAGCTTAATTAATAAGCTTAATAAGCTTGATTAGTAACGTGAGGCTGCTAGGTTTGCGGTAGTAGCTATTATTTCTATATCACCTATAGTGCTTACCTTATACCAAGGTGGTGACTACCCACTACTATTAGCGACTCCCCTATCCTAGGCAACTCCTCTATCCCAGGTTGTCTAGGAGACACCTATTTAGGACTAGTAGATGTCTATATCTAGCCACCTTGGCTCTTCGTCCATAGATTCTTTAATTCATACTTTCTTGTTATATTAGTAGCAAGGCCACAATACTTTTTTAGTGTTAAGAGTTAGGTAATAATATAAAAAAATCCTATAACAACGCTATATATATATATATATATATCTATCTATAAAGGGCTTAAAATAAAACTACCACTACTATAATTTAAATACTATCAAAAAAACCTAGCAACTTTAACCTCTATACTACCTATTTATATAGCCTTAAAAACGCTATAACTATTAAGCTTATTAATCAAGCCAATCAAGCCGCCTAATTTTACCTCATTAAGCCAATCTAAGCTGTCTTTTTTGGCCGATAGATCCCCAGCTTGATTGGCTTGATTGTTGACAACTCTGCGACATGGTGATAGAATTCGGAACTTTGATTGAGATGGGCCTCCTACAGCGTAAAGGTATGCATGATCAATTAATTTTCTGGGGAAAGATTAGGCAAGCTTGAAAGAAACAGTATTATGCTAGGGCCTGATATATATATATATATATATATATACATCTGACCATGGTAGAGAGATCTCATCGAGGTGTTACGGTGAACAGATGAGGCGATGGGGGAGGAGGGATAGGAAGATGATGGTCACGCATGCTTATCGCACATTGTTTCTGATTTGGGTACCTGTAAATATAGACAATTACATTATATTTAAGATTCAAAAGCCGTTAAAATGCTTACTCAAAGACGCATGAGTGGGATAGAAAGTGATGCCCAGTGCTCGATGAGTCGCTGATTTTTACTCTGAAACAAACGAAAATATGACTCCAGAGACCCTGAAAACACAAGTCCGAATACCGAAACCAGTCAGAAGTCTGCCTTCAAGCCCTGTATCTGTACTGAATAACCACTAGGGAGTTATTCTTGTTTGGAATCATTCAGAGGCAAAAATACCCGTTGAATGAACGTCCTCATGTTGATATGAGCCATCAAGGTCATTTCATAAGTAGTCTTAAGGACCACAACAAGAGATGTAAGAGCCAAGCGGCACGACTCTTCATCCGGCATTCGTCCCAGGAGGGCCTACCTTATTTCTTGCTCTTCTCCAGTAGAAAGCATCAAGGCGAGAACTTATCACCAAACCTCATATCTGCAAAGACTTCCTAAAGAGCGGGCCGCGATACGCCGCGAGACCGAGATCGTTATCAAAGCCCATGAATGGTGACATGTAGTCATTCTGCATCAACCGGGCATCACTAGCATTCATCGGGATGCCGGTCTTTATGATTCCTTCCTCGTATAGGCGATTAACAGTGCAGTAGCTGTGGACTCTCATAGGGCCAAGCCGGCGTAGCATGACAGCGTAAACAGCTTTCATGCGCTCAACTTCTTCCCGGCGGCAACAGTATTTAAAGCCGTAGTCGCGTTGGAGGCACGCTGGTGGCTCCACTGCCTGACTCGAATCTACGAATTGTCGCAAGCGCCAGACTGTTGGACGTTTGGTAGGTGTAGTGTTTAGAAAGTCTTCGAGACTGGGGAACACTTCGCGGAATTGCGAGTACTCGTGCATGTCGAACAGTTGCACGAGGCTGTTTGTTTCAAGAGCTTTGACAAGATCGCGGAATATTGCCTCTGTGTTACTGGATTCCTTGAGCATGGTCGCGTATAGTCCGGCCAGATGACGTTCTTTGGCCTCATCCTCGGTGGCCACAAAACCAAATTGATACCAAGCTTCTGATGATACTGGAAGTATGGCGCCACGTAGAACCGTTGCGACTAAGTGTGCAGTTATCTGCTTGCTAATAGGCTCGAGGCGGAGAAGGCTTAGTACGCGTTCACTCTGAGGGAGATACGGTCGGGCGGCTTCCAGAGGGTCATCTTTGTTGACATGGTCTGGCGCAGTGGGACAAGCGAGCTCATAGCGTTTTCGTTGTTTGGCCTTCTCATCCAGAGGGGGGATTCGAGATGATGTAGGCGTGTGAGTGTCCACCAGAAGCTTGGCATTCTTGCTAATACCTGCCTTAGGAGGTAATGTAATAGCGTTGAGGGGTGGCGACGATGGAGAAGGCACGTACGGTGAGACCGCCTTCCGTTGCGGCACAAACTTGCGAGTTGACGAGGGATTTCCTGTGGGGCTCACGAGAGAACCTCTCTTGGGTGGCAGTGTAGGAGTCAGGTAGAAAAGATGACACGTCCTCGTCACCATTTTGAAA